AAATGTTCCCATAAAAAAGAAATATTAAAAGTGAAAATGAAAGGCAACCAAAACTTAGTGTGTCCTTATGATAATCTTGTTTTATTTTCAATGATTAGAAGGAATTACTGTTGCACCTGAAAATCCAGATCAGTCCATATCTGAAACTGATACACACTGCTCACTGTAAGCAACATAAACCTGCTAATCTCAACTTTCAATCCACTCTGGAACTTGCCATTTGTAGCTATGTAAATACTGTAGCCATCAGGGCTGCACAGATCCCTCAGAGCACTCTGCACCTGAGCAGAATGTGTAGTTAAAACTAATGTAAAGGATGGAAATATTCCTGTCTGAGCCTCTCAGTAGCAGGTCAGATTTGCTGGGCAGAGAGCTGGAAAATCATCTTTGTACTTGTGCACTGAGTGCACTCTGAAAATGACTTAACAACTAAAATTAAAACAATAATACTTCGACAACAGTATAATTTCAAAATAAGACCTTCTTCTAAAGTGTATCCCGAAAGCCAAGGAGCAGAAGGATTTGTGTGCTCCAGCAGAGCCCTACCTTGCAGTGTGTGAAGGTGCTCTTCACCACGCAGAGGACGGAGGAGGGGAGGGAGCGGATGCTCTGCAGGGACAGCTCCTGCACCGAGCACACGTAGCGCACGCAGCCCGTCAGCGTCTCCAGCAGCTGCACCACTGCCTGAGGTTAAAACTGAACATCACACACTCCTGCAATACCTCCAAACGCACCTTTTCTTACCTGAAATACACCTGGATTTTCACTACATTTAAAGTTCACTGCTATTTGCATAAATAAGTAGTTTGTGAAAGATGAATGAAGCTCCAGAGCTTTTCTCTGATACCATACCCTCTATGAAAACTCCTTATTTCTTTCACTTTTGTTCTCAATTTACAAAAATGTTAAAATTCAGAATGAAGTGACATATTTATAAACAGGTGCCAGGTTCACCTGGGGAGTCACATTCCATCTACAGGAGGGACTTGGAGCAGAATCTGAGATGATTTTTAAAAATTATTACTAGCATCACACACTAGATGTAATCAAATAATTCACAAAATGTCAACTGAACTTCAACTGCAAAGGAAGATTAAATTACATTTTAACCACCAGTAGCTGGCAAAAAACCATTCCAAAAACCTTTAGTAGTTTAGGTAAAAGCAAAGAGTCATGTAAACATTATTTTGAAAGCTTGTGTGAGGGGACTTGCCTGTAGCAGATTCCTTACAGTACTGCATAACTCTGTACTCTGGCTGGTCAGTCCTTTGGCCTTGCTGGATAATTCACACATCAAGTTATCAAAGAACTGTAGAGTCTGGCAGAACACAACAAAACTGAAACATTTTACTTACAAAGGTACATGTGCAAATAATAACAACATTCTACACCTGCTTGCTGCCTTGGCATGGAGGCACAGAGAGAACTCACAGGAGAAAATACTTTCCAGCATTTCATTCATTTCCAGAACCTCATTTCATTCATTTAATTCATAAAGCATGATATAACAAGAAGCAAAATCCACTTATTATATATATATATATATATATATATGTATAATAAACAGAAGATATTGTAGCTGTTACTTTTTCTAAGATCTGTTGCTAAAACAAGCTTTGCAGCTAATTTGCTTGAAACATATTATTAATGCATAATATATTTCATATATAATATATAATAAATAATGTTATATATTATTGAATATTATATATTAAATATATTATTCTACCAAACATTTTTTACTTACTTAAAGCCACATAATTAAAAAAAAAAATTTCCTTTTGTCTCAGAAAAAAAATTTGTTTGTTGAGAATGATTATTAACATCTTGAATACATTTAAAAAATGTCTGTGATGTGTAAACAACATCTATTTCTACTTTAGTTGAGGTTTTTGGATATCTGATGAATGTTACTGTTGAGACTGCAAAGACAATGAGGCACATGCAGGATATGCCTATTATGAGACAATTTTCTTGTAATCTCCAAAAATTTGTTACTTGAGATAAAATAACAGGAATATCAACTGGCCATTTTTACTGGCTTTTTAAAATGGACAAGCTGAGGCTTGAAACTTAAATCAGTAATTTGGCACCGTTTTACTTCACTTAAAATGTAAGGACTGATTTTAACACACCTATGGCACAAAATTCTCCATCATTTAATCAAAAAAGAAAGTATGTGTCAGGTCAGTGTGGTCTAAAAGCCCATTCACTATATTAATTCACAAATTTCACAACATTCATTCATCATATGGGAGTGTTGAGCTCTTCAGTTTACTTGTCCTGAGAAGCTCCCTCACTTAAAAATTCTCCACCTTTGTCATTTTATAAAAAGTCCAATCTTCTCAGAAAGAAAAAAACCCCAAGTCTATTGCTGAATATAGAAAGCAGAATATTGCATATTTGATTCCCTCCCTACTGTAAAGAACAGTCACAGAAACAATTGAACACAACACTGAAAACTCTTAATGAGTAAATTTCAATTTCAATTTTTGTATCCCATAGATATTGTGCAACCTCAAAAGAACAACCACTGCAATCTAAGCAGGTTCTAACATTGGACCGACAGACAATTCCACAGTTAACTGAAGCTGTCCTACCTTAGGTAATACTTTTGAGAAAAAAATTCGTTCTACATCCTCGAGGCTGATATGTGGCAAAAACATTTCAGTCAAGATCCTCAAAATACCTGCAAAGAAAAACATTTATAATGTGTAATTCACAAAAATATACAGCAACCTACCAAAGGAAATAAAGATCTGCAGAAAGCAAAAACAAATCAGGCACTTGATTTTGAGAGAGGCAACAGAGCACTTGCCTTACCCAAAATGCATGAAAACACACATACATTATCTGAAAAATCAACTATCTGTAATAGCTCCAACATGCTAAAACCCATCAAAAATAGCAGCACACCTGACTAAACTTAGTTGAAGGCTGAGCACAACTGCCGGCCTACAGATCCAGTATTTGCCACATTCCAAACTGCAAATAGTAGCACATTTTGTAATGAAACGTAATATGCAATGTAACGGTTTTAGCAACACTCGTTAACAATTACATACGAGCCACATTTTCTTTTAACTATTAGCTTTGTCACCCGGAAGATAACAGCCCAAAAGACAATAAAACACCAGATGAAAAACACCCTTCTCTCGTGCACTTAAAGATCAGAAGTAGCAGAGAGGAAAAAGCAGCCTTAGGTGCAGAGTGCCTATAGGGGCATTTATAAAGCTTATTCAATGTGAACTTAGTGGAGTGTGCAAGGTCCAGCAGGACTGCAGAAGACTGAAAAGTTGTAGCAGAAGTATTTCAAGCACTGCAGTGATTTTAATGCAATTGCACTACAGGGCTCCACAGGAAGAGGCACTTCTTAGCCGTTACTTACGAATATGCTCAGTCCAGTCCTCAGACTCTTCATACATTGAGTAAAAACGTTAAAGAAAATCCATCTTGTTCTGCTGTAAAGGCTACCTTCAAAGCACCTGCAGAAGCCACAGCGACTTCTATCACTGTCTCACGTTCGTACGAAATTGGTGGGGATGCTCCACAACCAACGCGGGCTGATAGCCCAGAGTACCCACAGGATCAATAAAATGTATTAGAGAGTAAGTCTTGAACGGTTGTTTTTTGGAGTTTTTTTCCGGTGGTGTGTGGTTGGGGTTTTTCAGGGGGTTGGGTTTGTTTTGTTTTTGAGGGGGCAGGTGAGAGGTGTGTTCGGGGAGTTATCCACAGCGCTAAATGAACCACACGCGATGTTCTAGATTCTAGGAGCCTGTTGTTCCAGGAAAAGGCTGCACCCGTCCCCAGCGAAATTCGCTGCACCCGACCCCTCACAAAGGTCCCACCGCTCTCCCTCACACACATTTAGCCGAACCGTGGAACTCCGAAGGATGCACACACACCCCCTCCAACACCGCTGCCCTGCCTTTCCCCCAGCCAGCGCAGTGCCCTGCTGGGAAGGATATGAGGAGCCGGGGCAGCACGGCGGGCAGCTGCCGGCGGCACAGCTCCCAGTCCCAGCCGTGCAGCTCCCGCAGGAGCAGCGCGGGGTCCGCCTGGGACATGGCGGCGGCCGCGCTCCCTCAGCGCGGGGCGGCGGCGGGAAAGGCGCCGCGCTCCCACAAGGCCCCGCGCCGAGGAAGCGGAAGCGGCTCCGCGGGGAGAACCGGAGCAGCGCCCGGAGCGGCGGGCGCGGGACAGGGAAAGCGGCACGGGAAACGCTCCCGGAGCCCCTCACCGGCCTGGAGCCCCTCACCGGCCTGCGCGGTGAGTCTGCGCCCCTTGAAACGCCGAGTCTGGAATGCGGGTATTAGCGGCGTTGGCAGCTGTCCTAATTCCCTTGTCTGGTAGGTGGGATGGGGTCAGCTGTGACGCTGTGTTTTAACAAACTTAAGTGGTTAGAGAGCGATTTTTAAAAATTACAGAATAGTTAGGGTTGTGTGGGAATCCAGGGCTTCCCTCTGGCTGCCCTGGCAGGTCTGGGACCCTGGCAGGGGTCAGGAACCCCCCTGGACAGAGCCCCCAGAGACACTGTCTGTGATCTCTGTCCATGGAGAGGAGTTTTCAATCTTACAGGATGAATTACAAGCTTTGAGTGTTTGATAAGAGTAATAATTAAGTGTGACACGGGTGCAAAGGTAAAATTTTAGGTTTCTAGATTAGGGGTTCAGAGGGGACAAGATGGAGGAATTGGGTGTGTTGTGTCCTTTTCCTCCTTCTTCATGCCCTCCATGTTTCACTGCGGTGTTGGCATTTTTCTATTGGTTTAGGCTGGGGACACACTGTCCAACGTAGGTGACAGATATTGGCACGTTATTGTAAATCCAGCACAGGTAGTTTCTGGTATTTAATGTTTGTACCATCCCACTGAGGGCAGAGCCCCACACGCTGCCCTGCAGGACAGAGCTGCGGCAGGGCAGCAGAACATGTTAGAGATAAACAGAATAAACAACCTTGAAACCAGCACAGACCAATTATGGCTTCTGCTTTGGCATGGGGCAGAAAGACAGAGACTTTCTACAATCTCGGAATCACCAATACCCACAGATTCCGACAGGGTTGGAAGGGAGCTCTGGAGATCATCGGGTCCAACCCCCCTGCCAAGGCAGCATCCCCCAGAGCTGGTGACACAGCGACGTGTCCAGGTGGATTTGGAATGTTTCCAGAGAGGACATTCCGGGGGAGCCTGGTAATGAAAATCAGGATAGTACAATTAGACGGTTGGTGCTGATATTTGTGATACATAAAAATATTTATTCTTATTTCCAGCAGCAATTCACCTGGCTCTTGACAAGACATCTGATATTGCACCAGCGAAATACTCTGTCCTGCAACAATACCTACATAAAAGCTTGGCTGTAATAAATTAAGCTTTTAAAAAACTTATTCCTGAAAATGGATTTTCGATTTAATTTTGCTGTTGATGAAAATGAGCACAGTGAGGCAGATGCTCACTTTTTATTGCTGTGCTCTCCAGAGCACAAGCAGGAACAAAGGGAAAAGAGCAGGGGAACTGCTGATCTCACAGGAAAGCCCAGCCCGAAGCTGGCTGCTGCTAAGCACCAGGATGAGGCAGCTTTGAAGAAAAACCTCTGTGTGAAAGCTGCCAAGGAGCACAGCATTCCCCAAGATCTCAACAAAGTATTGGAAAATAAAGTCATGGAAACAGTATTGGACCTGTCTTATGTAAAGCTGTCTGTAGTGGAAAGGACGTGTTCAGGTGACGCTGACAGCGAAGGCATCGTGTCCAAAAGTGTTTCTTCTCACTCTGATCTCATCCCTGGAGTCTATGAAGGAGGGCTGAAAATCTGGGAATGCACCTTTGATCTCATGGACTACTTTTCTGAGGCTGAAATAGAATTTACCAACAAGACTGTACTGGATCTTGGCTGTGGAGCTGGATTGTTGGGAATTATTGCTTTACAAGGTGAAGCTGCCAGAGTGCATTTTCAGGACTACAACAGCACAGTGATTGATGAAATAACCTTGCCTAATGTGGTGGCCAACTGTATCAGTGAAGGCAGGAGGATGGGCAGTGGGAAGGACAGAAAAGCCAGCAAGCCTCCTTCAAAGAGGCTCAGGAAAGCAGAGGGCTCACCTGATGTGCTCAACAGATGCAGATTTTTTTCTGGAGAGTGGTCTCAAGTCAGCCAGCTCCTGTTAAACAGCAACAAACCCTGTTTGAAGTACGATTTAATTCTCACCTCTGAGACCATCTATAATCCTGACTACTACAGTGCTTTGCATGATACACTGGCTCAGCTCCTGGACAGAAATGGCCGTGTGTATTTGGCAAGCAAAGTGCATTATTTTGGAGTTGGTGGTGGTATTTATCTCTTTGAGAAATTCATTGAAGACAAAAATGTGTTTAGAACCAGTATGGTTAAAACAATTGATCAGGGTCTGCAGCGATGCATTATGGAAATTGCCTTTAAAAATTCATGTTAAAATTAAACTACTGATCTACCAAAAATAGCTCGAAAATGTTTTAATCCTCATGTCTCTTCGCTTTTTCCTCTCTTATTCTGCTTTAACAAATTAAGGATGGTGGTTGTTGAAATGATTGACAAATTCTGGTGTCTGACTAGAAGCAAGGGACTTTTCTGGTGTTGACTTTGCATAGAGTTCTGCTTAAAGCAGCATCTGTTTATGATCATTAATTGATACACAAAGATTAGGCAAGTCATTGTCTCCAGCCAGGCTTTCACATTCTCTGTCAGCACCAGAACTGTAGTTACAGGAGTGACATACATGACATAAGAATGACATACGTGACATATTGTGGCTAAATGAGTTAAATTTAGCATCCAAAATTTGTGCAAGAGATGGTGAGTTTGCACTCAAGGTTTGGGCAGCCTAACTGCAGCCAGATTCAGGCAGGGACCACACAGCTCTGAGCTCTGCTGCTTTGCCAGCAGAGGGGGATGTGATTGTATTTATCACTCGTGGAGATCTCAGAAATCCACATAATATTTCCATGTGTAATACACACATGACGTATTCAAGCCCTTTAAATAGTGTAACAATATTAACCACTGTGGTATGTAAATTTTCACATTCAGGTTCTGTCATAGGCTAAGAAAATTTCAGCAAGGAATTAGAAAAAGCTGTGCTGGTTTAGAAGCTGACTTGAAAGAATATTCCACACAAGATAAGCTCCTTCTACCAACCAACAAGCCTACAAATGAAATACTGGAGGATGATAGAACTGAGGTTTAGGAGACAATTGGAAAAGGAGATAAAGTGTACTATTACAGGAGTTTAATAGATTGCTGTACTGTTTTAACAAGATTTTTCCAGAAATTAATTGCCCCGTTTTCTAAACTTGATGGGGGTACTACTGAACATCCACACCTCTTCAGTCTTTTCACAGCAGGTTGGCAGGACAGAAAGCACTCAGAAAAGTCTGCAGTACAAGGCACTTTTGTAGGCTGAAGACAGTGATGTTGCTGAAGAAATCACTGGAGACAAACTCCCAAAGAACTACAAAATCAGGTTTTGAGCGCTTGCTGCTACCAGCAATTAAAAAAAAAAACAAAATAAACAAAAACCACCAAAAACAAAAAGGGAAATCCACTGCATGTTTTGCCCTGGCCAAAACCAGACAGAAAAGCTCTTACACAGCTGTTGTCATCATGCACTGCTTTATCAGGTGCCCCTGCAGAAATGTAAACTTGGAGACAGTGACCACTGCTGTAAACTGGATGCAAGGATATTCAGTGTAGAGCAGAAGGAAATAGTCTGAGGGGATGGAAAGAAACTTAGCACAGCAGTGATCTAAATCACTTGAATTACGCCATCAAGTTTCCATCACTGAAGGTGCTGAAAATCAATCCCAAGGTTCCCATTTTGAACCTGCTGCTATTAAGATAGAGTTGTAAAGGATTTCCTGTACTTCACAGAAGAGCCTTCACTACCGTTTCAGAGTATTTTAAAGGGATGCTTTGGAAACTACTGAATTTAGCCTCTCACAGGATAGGACAGTGAGGAAAAAAGCCAGTTTTGCCATGTGTGCCATGGTGCTTTGGAATTCTTCTGCACCAACTGAAACTTAGTGATGAGAACTGCTGATTACAGACTGAGGAACAAAGAAAGTTTTAGCTTTAGCAAATCAAGAAGGTACTGTTAACAGCTCTATTTTTTTTCTGTCAAAGCAGAAACACTGGAAACAAATGGGTTACCATTTGTCATTTTTCAAACTCAATCCTAAGATAAATCACGCCTTGCACTGAACAGGTTGTTCTACACCTGCTAGTCTAGTGCAGTTCCAGAGAACTATACCTCAAGTAGTAAGAAATGTTGACCTCTATGATAAAGAATATGATTAGGAACAAGAATCTCATGTAATTTTGGATGAATAAATGAAGGTACTTAAAATACTCTACTATAATATGTCTTCTTGATAATATTCCACTATCAAAACTCACCATATTTGGTTTAATTATTGTGCCTTCACGGAGTATTTGGTTCAAACATAGCTTTCTTTTGCAAATGCAGAACCAGAACTCTTAGGACTTTGAGGGAAGAATGGCAGAGCCACAATCTTTGATTGCACACCTGCAAAACAAATAACCACACACAGTGTAATTAGCTTCCAATTTCAGAATCTGGTTCGAAAATGAAGGATACTTTTTCTCAGGTTAAATCAGCACAATTAGCATTGGGATTTCCATATTCTAGATGAGTTCTGTTCTTAAAATTCAGCAGGTACATACTGAGAGGAAGCAGAATTCAGCACTTAGTTTTGTAGGTTGCTGATGTTTCAATTTCAAATAATACTAATTTCCCTCATCTACATTAAGGCTTGGTGTACCTGAGAAATCTTCACCACCCTAGTGACCAGTGTCCTGTTCCTCTTCACAAACTAGAAAAGAAGAAAATAAACTTTTCACTCATTTGTAACACTTGTATGTATTACTTAATGACCAGGGAAATTAAATTGCCCCAAATGACACTGCATTAAAAAAATAACTGAATTGGGAGGTCCCTCAAAGTATTTTTTTTTTGATGACACACTAAAAGTTTTCTTCTGTGAAGAAATGAAAGGTAGAGTTCAGCTGGTAACTCAATTTTAATCAGCTGACTCCAAATCATCAGCATTTTTCTCCCCTCACATTTTGAACATGGCATTACAATAATAGGTCCCGTGTAAATTATGTCTTTCCTGTAAGTATTGTGGAGACAAAGATTAAAATCACTCATTAAATACCTCAGGAAACTAAATTGAAAGGCTTGTTTGTTTTAACACAGTTATCCCTAACTGATGACTTCCATTTGAAGACTACTTGCCAGTTTTGGGAAATGAGGCTATTTAAAACTCAGGTTTGCATACTGGCAGCTACAGTTATTTTACTAAAGCTTAGGTGGGGAAAAGCCCATGGTAATGGAACTGGGAGGTGCCCTATTTGCAGGTTACTGACTTGTGTGCTATTCTTGGTTATTAGGCACACAGGCTCTGAAATCAAAATTTTGTTAAGTAAAAGCAATCCTGCAGTCATTACCACTGTATCTGAAGTGCAGCCAGATACCCACTGCACAGGAACTTCAAAAGAAGCACAAAGAGCAGGCAAAGCTGCTGGAGGGGAAAATCCAGGCTGCAAGTGCGGGGGGATCCGGTGCCAACCAAGAGACCTGGAGCACCAGGTTCAGGAGATTCTGCTCTGAGGAGATTATTGGGATGAAGACCCCTGGAACTCTTCTGGTGAGGACTGGAGTGAAAGGTTTGAGAACAGAAAATTCCTCCCCACCCAACCAAAACAAAGCCACAGAAAGATGGATCACAACTGTAAGAAGGGAGTAACAGCAGGATTTTTGCTGATAGAAACTGGCCTAAAGTCTCTCAGATTTCCTGTTTTGTACTGTTAGAGTCACTTGCATGCTGGAAAGAAAAGGCTTCCCTATACTACCAGATACTGCTGGGTAAGTGCAGTAGGAACCACAGAAAAGGGAAGAATATATAGAGAATATGTAGAGATACCTCTGGAAGTCAGCAAGCCTTCAAGACAGCACGTCAATAAATCCACAAATGAATTAAATGAAAACTGTCATGAAACAAGAAAAGTGAAAATCATTTCACAACAAACAAAAGGCAACATCCTGCCACAACAGGAGGATGATGTAGCTAATTCAGATACTGCCTAGGTGTATTGAGGAGGTAGTTTACTATCACATAATTATTGCTAGGAAAAAAGGAGAAAAGCATTATTAAATTCACACAAATCAAAGCAGTCCAGGGGAATCAGAATGAAAGAAGCACTGGCAGAATTTTACATTGCCATCAGTCTGCTACAGGGAAGGTTCTTACAGGAAAATCAAATATTTTGATCATTACTTCTGCAAAATACTAGCTCTTAAAATCACTGAGTAAATCAAAGATTTGGATAATTGGTGAAGAACTCTAACAGTCAACCCCACCCTCCACACCACTTTTTTTAAAGTGTGGGTAAGAAAGATGAAAAGCCCAAAATGTAATAGAAAACAAGTTGAAAACATTGCTCAAAAGACCAGTGAACAGGTTTGGTCCAGTGGTGTTTGAAGTTGATGGTAAATCCTTAGGTATCCTACAGTAGATCAGTGAAATGGGACTGGATGAAAACAAATTACAAGTAAGATGGTGTGGGAGTGTTTAACTAAAGGGCACATCAAAAGGAAAGGAAAAAGGGTTTGAACTTCAGATTGTGCACAAAGAAATTATCTAAAAAAATAATATATATGAGGATTATATTACAAACAATGGCAGAGTCCAGTCAGTCCAGATTTATGGTTACACCCATAGAACTCACATTCAATTTTATTTATCAAAGTACAGCTCACAGTTACCAGGTTGGAACTGCTCATTGTGTTCACAAGTTTATTTCTTGTCATCTGACCATGTAATTTCATAATCTGCATACTCTTTCTTCAGTATCTCTACAGTGACTGAGTGATCTGCTTTTCCATAGCCCTGCAAGACAGAACAAATTGGACATGGACATTAAGTCTTCGGAACTATTCAGTTCTTATCAATAGAAGTTGTTCACATGCAAATCAAAGTTCTAAAAGAGTTACTCTTGCAATATCATGTTTTATTTTTCTATTATCCTCTCCAAGTCCCCCCTCCCCAAATTGAAATTCTAGAAAATAAATGAAATTGAGTCAAATAAAAAATGCATTTTCTACAAAATTTCTCCAGCAGAAAGATTGTTTTAAAATGTTCCCAACCCATTAGCCACTGTATTTATGGAATGTTGCTTTAAACCACAGAAATGGCATTGGCCCACTTTAATGTGTGAGCACACAAACAGCTGATTTGGCTCAGCTGATGTGAAAGGGAATAAGCAAACAAGTGTGAGCATTTGAGCACTGCTCTGGTCACTAGAGAAATCAGAGCCTTCATGTTTTATGTATTTCCCATCCTGCCTTAGCTGATAATATACAATTTTAAGTATCTCTGCTCTTCAGCCATTGCAACTCCAAGGTAAAGTCAGGTGACCC